TCTTTACACATTTGATGATAAAATTTCACTAGCAACATGTTCACTCCAAGCACATACATACTTGGTGTCCATTCTAGAACAAGCTAGAAAAATATGTTCCTTTAACTCAGGGAGCATAAAATCAATCCCATTACACAACTCTTCAATTACTGAACAATTTCTTCTGTGTCATAAATAAACACAACATAAATACTCTGAATAACATAAGATAATGGCAAGGCAGCCTCATGCTTGTTCAACATGTAGATGAATACAAGTTCTTAGCTATGAATTTTTTTCTTGTGGGTATACCTCCCACCTTATAAATGGCCCAGCCATTATTATTATTTTTTTTTTTGCAAGGATCGAATAACATCACTTTGCACTCTCAATCCAACTGGTTTCCAACTGGCTCAATTGCACTAACAATTAATTCACTAGAAAAATTCCACAAGAACATAGAAAATGCAAAAGTTACCCAGACTATTTCAAAGGTAAATTAACTATAAGTGTCCATCCTTAAATATTTGCTTAAACTTCAGACAAGTTAACTTAATTTTGTTAAGCTTAAAAATTGCTTACCTCATATTAAATGAGGTTGAACCCAAAACTCCTCCAAAACTCTCAGTTTTGCTACTGCCCTTGCTATAAGACCAACACTCCTTCTCTATTTTTGTTTTGCTCATCTGGTGTGAGAATGGAAGAAAAATGAAATTTGTTTTGGTCTTACCCCCCCCCCCCTTTTTGTTTTTTTGGTATTAACCTCCTGATATTCGGTAACCACACTAAGTCTCAACTAATCCGAAATTGAGCCACGTCAGAGCCCATAAGGGAGGAAGTGCTTGTTTCTCCATTTACAAGACTCAAATTCGAAACCTTGCTTAAGGAGAACTGAGCTCCTTCCACTCAGACTAACAGGTTGTTGGTTAGTCTTACCCCTTTAAACACATCCTAATTCTGACCAAAATTAGTGGGATTTTAATGTATTCCACTATACTGCTCTCATTACTGTGCAATCACATGCAAAGTGTACATTTACATGTCATTAGTCCACCAAGACATTTGTTCGGCAAACATTGTTATGAAATCAATCCCTAAACTTCTTTTAATAGTACAAGACCTCATCTATTAAGTTTTTAACTTTTAAGGATTAAACTTTCAATATTTTTACATTTAGGGATAGGGATGTTTCACTTGTACATCCAAAAAAAAAAAAATTGAATAGATGGGCTTGAGATGCCACTTGATTTAGGTGAAAGCTAAAGTCATACTCCCTCCTTCTTTAGTTCTCAATTTTTATTTTAAACAAAAGGATTTTCTAATCTATTAAAATTATAAGTAGTTTTTTTTATGTAAATTAATTTCTAAAAGGTGCAACAAATGCACCCTTAAAATAATACATTTAATTTTTTTTTTTTCAACTTTACCTTTATTGAAATTTTGTAATGACTCTTTAACAAAACTTAGTGCTAATTACTACTAATCTTTTCATTAACAGTGCCCTGTTGTATTATTCAAACTGTATTAGATTGCAAAATATAAACAATTGGTTGAGAAAAGACAATCCTTGATATATTGAAAAACCCACCCCATTCAATGATTTAAACTATACAATTTAGTATAGTTTAAACTGTATAATACTCTTTTACCTTTTTAATTGAGTCCATTATTTTCCCCTTTATCATTTCCTCCTAAAAATAATTTCTCTCAACATCATTATTAATGGATGAATTGAATGCTTTGAAGGGTTTGGATTTTTTTTTTTTTAATGAGAAAAACAAATGTTATTAATACAATAGGATATAAATGGAGTACTATATGACCGCATCTAAATCTAACCTAGGGCATGTTTGGTACCGTGGTTAAAATT